TTTTACCACTATTTCTATTGGGTTTCATCTCTAGCCTACCTCAACTTGTTTGGGACTAAAAGGCTTTGTTATTGTTGTTATTATAAATTAAATTAAATTATATTATATTAAAAATATTCTTTTAAATTAATCAAAATTATTTAAATTAATATTCTATACATTAAATTTTATTTTAAATTAAATAAAATATTTTAGATTAAATAATATTATTTTGAATTAAATAAAAGTATTTTAAATGAAATAAAAATATTTAAATTAAAATTTTATAAATTAAATAATTTTATTTTAAATTAAATTAACATTTTTTAAATTAAAAAAAATTATTTAAATTAATATTTTATATATTAAATAATATTATTCTAAATTAAATAAAATATTTTTGATTAATTAATATTATTTTGAATTAAATAAAAGTATTTTAAATTAAAATTATTTAATTTTTTTAATAAATTAAATAATATTATTTTAAATTAAATTAAATTATTTTATATTAAACAATATTTTTAAATTAAATAAAATTAATTAAATTAATACTTTAATAATTAAATAATATTATTTTAAATTAAATAAAATTATTTTAGATTATATATAATATTATTCTTAATTAAATAAAAAATATTTAAATTAATATTTTATAAATATCCGCCCAAAATTGGAACTCAAACTTGGGGATAAAAAATATCCCCCCAAAATGGGGGAACAAAACAATCCCTCCACATCATATTAATGAAGGGAGACCCACATGCCACATCAGACTAGTCCTTTTCCTTAACCAACCTAGTAAACATATGATAAGGTTGGTTAACCAACCTTATCATATCCTATCAACCCTAGTAAACGAGGCCTATGTAGATAAAGTAATCCTGAGTTATTTCTATACATATAACTAGTGTGTTACCCGTTGTGCACAGTACAGTTGGCCCCAATTTTGTTATAGTTAAGTATGTAATTGATTTATAATCGAATTATATTTTTTATCATATTGTAGAGGTCTGAAATAATTAATAGAGACAAAATAAACAACTCATTGTGAATACATGAAAATGTCCTTTCCATAAACGACTTTAGAGAACAAAGGTTTTCAGCTCTTTCTCGAAAATTTATCTAATAGACTAATACATATGTGATGAAAGTACATGTAATACTGTTACCTATTCAGGTTCATGTAACCAATGGTACCTGGAAAAAGAGAAAAAAAAATAAATAAATAAACTTCTTTCCGGGTCTTTCTTTGTGGGCGTCAACTATGTCGGACGCGGAAAGCGCTCCACTTGAGTTAGTCAAACTCATTTCATGTAACATGCCTATACAGTCCTGGAATATGGGTGTGCGATCCTTATGGCCTAGCATTTTAGATTTAATAAGGAAGATATGGAGAAGGATATGGAGAGCGCTTGGCGTTCTAACATTATCAACACTGACCACTGGATAAGAAAGACCTACCACAACAGGTTCATGTTCTTGTACTACCCTTTGTTGGTCCCGAAGGATGGCGGAGGCTAGGTTAGCCAAAAGATGGTTATCGGTTCTTCTTCCAGTGCCCTTTTTTCTCTGCAAAAGGCACATTCATCTTTGCTCAGCTTGGGACTGGATTGATGAAATAGTATTGCCCCTGGAGAGAAGTCCTTCCGCCGACCTGGCCATTGGACGGCACCTTTCTCATCTCTTTCCTCCCAAAGGAACCGTCTATTCAGTTTATCAATACTCGAAATAGTCAATTTGGGTAGGCTCATAACCTTGAGGTCGCGGGTTCAAATCCCGTCTCCGCACTATCTTGATTTTTATCTAAAATCAAAGGATTTGGCTCAACGCTTTTACGCAACATCACTTCAACAACTCTCATTGCAATATGGGCATCCCTCTGATGGATGAAATTTACGAAGGTTGAGATTTCAGTCTTCCAGAGATCTCTCTTAGAAGAAGAAAGTCTTAAAGATCTCCCTATATTGAATAAGGCCTTCTCTCTTCCTCTTAGTCAAAAAGCGTTTGTAACGAATCGTTGGGGAGATTTTGGTTTATTTTTTGGGAAAACTCTTGTCACTCCTACCTCAGGTTATCAAGCATCTAGAAATTCGATCCGGAAGAAAGGAAAACTCCTAGCTTAAAAGAAAAGCTTATAGCTGCGGGTTGCTCATCTTTCCTTCTAGCCAATCTCGTGCCCAACTCTTGGGTAAGGGAGAAACTCACCCTCATCGTGATGGGGGAAGTCACACAATATCCTAAATCGAATGGTGCCACTTTACCTTTGGTATCAAAGAAGCTTCTAACGCAAAAAGATCTATTTTTCTTGGCTCAAATGTCATCTCGACTTTCAATAACATGTGTTAAGCTGAAACCCAATGGCATGTTGAAAGCCGAACTCCACCTTGTCAAAACTCTTTTCTTTCTTCTAAAAACTAAAACACTAACTTCACAGAACTGGGCTCCAAAAATTTTAACCAATATTCAGGTTTCTAAAACTCACGTGAAGATATATCTTGTGAAAATCCTTTTACATAAAAGATTGCAACAAAAATATTAAATAAAATACTTATCAGTTAGAGAGAAAAAAGTCACACTTGTTTTCTCAATGTAACGCTTAAAACCAACATAAAAAACTTAAAGAAATCGAACAATACACTTGGCCTGCAGAGATGATTCAGGAAGGCTAGTATCAATTGGTGAATTTCAATTTACAAACAAAACAATCCATAATCTCTACAAACCATTCAACATCATTCTGACTAAAAAAAGTGGAAACCCCATAAATAAATAAATAAATAAATAAATAAATAAAAACCCCAAGTTAGTACTAAGTGAATCACATTATGCAGTACAACATTTTTTTTTTCCTAAAGGGGACTCAAAAATATAAGTAAATATATATCAATTCCATCCAACAATAAAAATTACCAAGCCAGCATAATTCCATA